GATCACAGACACGGAAGACGATTATACTGTGACAGCCGACCAGCGCGCCGCCCTTATGGAGCTGGAGACCCTCACGTGGAACTACCCGACACCGGGCCAAGGGCGCTCCGTCGGCCAGAGTCAGGCGGATGACGACGACACTGACGAAGATGATGACGATGACTCCTACTGTGAGTATGGCTGGGTTTGAAATCATATATTTCTCCTTTATAGCTTTTTGACACGCATGCACTTGTAAGGAAGCATACCACACACACACACACACAACCTCTACACTATCTACTAGTCGTGTTTCCACGTGAACGCTCGACTTGCACAGACCTCTTATATATATATACATATACATATATATATATATATGTATACATACATATATGTATATATATATATATATATATATATATATATATATATATATATATATATATATATATATATATATATATATATATATATAGCTAAGGAACAGAACAGAGCAATGGCCTAAGTAACTACTAGGATTGCAACCTCGTTGTTAAAAAGATTTCTACACAAATAGGCTAAAATGTATCGTTCAAAATAATATCAATAACAAAGGTGCTTGACTAACTAAATACTGCCATGATAGAAATGTATATACATACTAGCTTCCACATTTTAGTGACTTGAAAGTTAAATGTGTGTGCAAAATATCTCTAAAGCATTAACTGAGAGATCTTCTAAACCAAATGGATGCACACACACACACACACACACACACACACACACACACACACACACACACACACACACACACACACACACACACACACACACACACACACACAGACGCACACGGATAGTTAGGAGATTCTACTTCCTCGAAATATTCCAGATGTGGACATTGCTCCATATGACATGACGGAGAGGTTGAAGGAGGTCAACCGCGCGCTGTTAGAGGACCCGACTCCTGCTGAATGCGATCGTGCGATAACCATTCGATTCAGGGATGTTATCGCGGATTACCAATCACCGCGAGAGTATTACCCGTCAGGTAAGTTACCCCTAAAAATTTGGTTTTCTCTCGTGACTAAGAATTCGTTTTCTGTTGTAGTTTTCTAGGGTGACTTTCTCAACATAATTTCCCTGCACATATAATCTGAGCGAGATCTTGCAATAGGATTAAAATAACATTCATATGCTTAGATATAATACTCATTAGGGATATATAGAAGCTACAACGGCAAGCAAAGATGAAATATACAGAACTTAGCTTCATATGCCGTTTTAGATATCAAATTTCCATTTACATCGGCAGTTTAAAGGGCTGAAGGCAACGATCGATAAAGTGGAGCGAGTCATATATATCATAAAACTATATCTAAGTGATGCATTTTCTTGTCACCAGATTCGGATGACGGATACGGAGACTCCTCGGATATCTTGTATGACGCCGAGGAGGAGGACGACGGGTTGACCTCTCTGACGTCTGAGGCCAAAGAGGTCCTGGGAGGGAATGTGAATTTGGTTGATTTCACTAGTGACTTTGTGCAAGATAACTGTGATTATAAAAGTGTTAGAAACGGCCTGGTCAGCGGGAACGATATCATTAAAAGTTACGGCAATTTTGAGCCCGGTGACACTAACTCGTTTTTAATCAGTGGGGAAAAACAGCATAATGACACGAGAAAAAGAGATGTACCAAAGCTCAACTTAGGGAATAATCACGATGACACGCCATCGAATCCGGCCAGGAGTAAAGTCTCTTCGGAGCAGATTACTTCGAACGTGCAGATTCCTTGTGAGAAAACGCTTTTAAAAGTAGACGATTCTGGATTGGCTGACCTGGAGACCTTTATGAAAGAAAACGAATCCTTGTCAGAGCAAAGTTCTTTAAGGGCTGACTCTGTTAATCATGAAGTAGCTGAAATGAGGAGCGGTTCTATGTCTTTAGTAGAAATTAGTGATAGAATACATGTAGAAAAGGGTTTCAGTAGTTTAGGCGATGGTGTTAACGAGGATTTCCAAGAAGTTGATGAAGTAATAGAAGGAGAACCTGAAAGCCTCTTCGAAAGGAGAGGATCCAAAGAAAATCTCGAACAAAATGAGCATTTGCCGGCCAAGAGCGGAACCGATTTTTCCTGTTATGAGTATGAGGACGACTTCGAAGACATCCAGGATGAGACCTCATGTTCGAAAGACACGGAAGATGATGTCAAATCCTCCTCGCCGCGAGTCACCGTCCAGACGCCCGTCTCGCCGCGTCTGTCGAAGGACAAAATCGAGAAGCCGAAGGAGGTCGCAGTCAGATCCCAAGCGAAAGAGACGGCGGACGACAGCCCCGGCAAAAAGGAAGCTCAAGAGAGCAAGAGCCTCCAGAAGCAAGGGCACAAGAGCAGGAAGGACCAAGGTGCCTCCAGAAAGTCGTCGGCGACGTCGTCCAGCGAGCGGGGCAAGAAGCGCGCCGAGAGTCAGTCGCCCTCTGACGCGGCGAAAACTCCTGCCGGCAGAACCAAGCTCAAGAGGAGCTCGGCCTGCCCGC